CCTTGGCTGCTGCCACCCTCCACGTGCTGTGTACCTACCTGTGACTCACCACACTTGTTCCAGCCCTCTTCAAGCAGCATTGTGACCGGCTGGCACACGCTTGCCCTTTGGTGTGGTGGTGAGTGGGGCTGCCATCCTCCCCCCTCCCCACATCTTAGGCTATCTTTCACCCTTGGGGGTTTTCGGCTGCCAAATCGGGCAGTAATGGAAGAGGAGGCCATCATGGAAGCTCCAGAGCCTGAAGACCCAACCTCAGTGCAGGATAGGCCATGCACAGGAAGGCAGGCAGGCTGCTAGGGAGGCCCTTAAGGAGAATAGACAGCGCCTCTATACCAGACTGGTGGCTGCAGGCCAAGATAGAGAGGCCTCCAGGCACCAGCGGGCCCCAGATCATCAACCTAGCAGGGCCCAAAGGCAGACTGGCTGTAGCTCAAGTTCATCAAGCTGATACACCTGAGTCCCCAGGGAGCTAGGACCCTGATCCATCTGAACCCCCTTTGTCCTCCTGTGGGGGAGATCTTCAAGGCTTGTCCCCAGATAGATCCTTTGGGGACTCCAGGCCCCATTCTCCTTACCTTGGGGAGGGAGCAGATCTTTTTGGCTGTGATGTTATGGAGGACAGGGATTCCCCTTCTCCTTCTCTTCTTTCAGTCTCCATAGGACCCCATCTTCTTCTTCTGCCACCATGGCAGGGACCCGCCCGGTGGAAGACCAGAGCCCATCCTTATTAGCAGAGATTCGGGAGGTAGTCACCACAGCAATCTCTCAGGGCATCGCCCAGGAGATGAAAGAACATGACAATAGATCAGCCAAGGGGCATAGAAGCAGGTCCAGAGCACATGAGCGTGCTTTGCCTCCTCCCTCAGTGGCTAGCGCTGTCTTGGAGGAAGACGACCTGGTGGAACCTGACCTGTCTGGAGACGAAGGATTGGTTCCAGACAACCTGCCTTTGTGGGTTGTTTAAACCCTCATTGTTCAAATCTATTTTGCATAAGTCTAAGGTGATCAGTCATCAGGAGATTTCCCCACCAGCTACCAGGGGATCATCGATCTCTCTGATCCCAGTGGGGGCGCTGTTTGATGACAACATTCAGGCCCAGGACTTGGTCCCAGCCCCTAAACTTTTCAAGGATGTAGTAGCAATAGCAATAGCAGTTAGACTTATATACCGCTTCATAGGGCTTTCAGCCCTCTGTAAGCGGTTTACAGAGTCAGCATATCGCCCCTACAGTCTGGGTCCTCATTTCACCCACCTC